AAAGCCTGGCAATCTTCTAATCCTACCTACCCGCACTTGTTGTGTTCACACCGAATGGGAGTCGAATGTAATTGATATAATTTTATTGAATTACTTTTATTAATCGAATTACTTTTATTAATCTTCATGTGATCTTGGGTTCGAATTCTTATCTATCCCCACTAAATCGAAATGGAAAGGAATTAAAATGAAGCATTTACTTACACGCAATCGGATTAAGATGAAAATCAAATCATCACAATGAGATATGAATTAGATTAGACTCTCTTAGGGATGAAAAAAATTTCCATTATTTTAAAAGGAGATTAGGGCAGAAAGAAAAAAGTTTTTACCATAAACCTTGGTAAATTGACATGGTATGATACTTAGTAAACTGAGAAGAAAGATGAATTTTCTAATTCTTCATCCACATTTCTTAAAAATTAATAGAAATTTCAAAATTTTCTTCTCTTGATCTCCTTTTTTTTTTATGTTATAAACTTTTTGTCAATTCACTAGGTATGTGTAGGTTTATCACCAACCAATTTTAACATTCAACAAGGAGAGACTAAATTGAAAAATATCAACCAACATAAGCTTAACTCAATGTTAACAAGAGATCATGAATTCGAATCTTTCATCCCACTAGTTGTACTAAAAAGACAATCTGGATGAACCTTTTCATCGAATTTGAGTTATGCGGTTGACAAGTTAAATATATTTTTTAATTAAAAAAAAAGTCTGTAAATATTTTTACTCTTGATTCTCTTTTTTCAATTTACTCTCTAATATTTTATATTTTATAAGTTTTGATTCATATTTTATATATATCAAGTATTTTTTTTCTATTAAATGTTATCATCAAGTATTCATTTTCTATTAAATTTTATCATCACTTGCCAAAAATGGAGATATTTGGATTTAAGTAGCAATTTTTATTAGGCTATCAACTGTCAATATATCGACACAAGTGATTGAGTTAAGAAGTTTCTCATGATAATATGCTTCATAAAATATAAATTACTTAAAAGAAATCAGCTCGACTCTCTTTTGAGTAGGTCTTAAAAGGAGTTTGAAAGTAGGATCTAAAAAGAGAAGGAAGATGCATAATTTTCCTTTCTTTTATTTTTTCTTTTTATATAGGGTATTCTACATATTCATTAATACAAGTATATATGTATTATCTTTTTTGATTTATTATAGTTTCTTTTTCTTTAGTCACTATAAAACTTATCTAATGAAGAAGGATATAGTAAATGAGGTGCTTTGGACAACTCATTAAAAAGTGCAATATAAAATGATTTGTCAATTTTATATATCAAAGAGTAATTTGAATATTGCAAGCTACGACATTAGTAAATTTTTAATTTCATAGATATATCTATTTCATCCACTTAAAATGCAGAATTAAATATAATGTATTTTGATAGTACGTCATCTTGATGGTCAACGACTTCATTGAACAAAAACAAATACACAAAGGATGAAATTAAAAGTTTTAAAAGATGAGGAGCTAGCTAGGACGTTTGGCTGCCTTAAGATTTTGCTAAAATAATGATTTAGTCATTGAAGTTTAGTTTGTAACGATTTAGTCTATCTACTTTTAAATCAACAACATTTTAACTCTAAACTTTAGTAGGTAACAATTTAATCCCTGTAATTTAAGGTTCATAATAATTTATCTCTATTGTAAAAAATTTTATTAAATTTCTTATATATAGATTAGTAAATCGATGAGAAATCAAATACGTTTATAAATTATGAAAACAAAATCAAATTTTGATGATTTTTTTCACGTTACAATTTTTAAATTATAAAGACTAAATTATTATATACTAAATTTTAGGGAATAAAGACTAAAATGTAAGAAACTAAATCCATCAACAAAATCATTAGTGAGATTACAGTCAGCAAAAGTATTTTTAACCCAAAAAAATTACAACATTGAAGATTAAATTAAATATTTATTTCCTTTTGAGTTTAATAAGAAGATGGGGAGATTTTTTTTCTTTTAATTTAAGAATTGAAAAATCCAAATACATAAACATACCTGTCCCTGTGGCATGCAAGTCCACGTGACATCCATCGTCTCTCTTTTATCCACGTGGCATCCACTGGATGAGGTTATTGATAAGTTCATTCAAGTCCTTCCATGAACTCCCATTG